TTCCTGTGTGTCTCTGCCTGGGGACTTCTCTGGCTGCCAAGCACTTGGCCCACCCAGAGGAAGCTGGAGTTCCAGGAATTCATGCCCTCAGCCAATAAGGGAGTCGGGCTGTCGGTGCATAAATACCCCAGCTTCTCCATCCCTCGGTAGGATCACTGAGGCATGTCCTGCACAGTCTCTTGGCAGGGCCCCAACAGGATGAGCTCCGGGTCCCATCAGGGGTAGCCTGCCCATCCACATGTCTTTCATTGTCTTTCCCCATGACTCCCTCACCATGCTTCCCTGAAGCACCTCCACATAAATTTCTTGCAACCAGATCCTTGCTCAACATCAGCTTTGGGGCAAACCCAGCCCAAAACAATCACATTTTAGAGCCTGGTGCCCAGTGTGGACCCTCAGCAATTGCCATCTACCTTGATACTCATTTTCTTTCCTTTTTTTTTTTTTTTTGAGAAGAATGGCAGTGTGTTAATAAAGACTTCACGTTTTACCCACAGGATAATAACTCTATTTATTACAGGGTTTGTTTTGTTTTGTTTTGTTTTTTTTGAGAAGAAATCTCTCTCTGTTGCTAGGCTGGAGTGCACGATCTTGGCTCACTGCAACCTCTGACTACCAGGTTCAACCGATTCTCCTGCATCAGCCTCCTGAGTAGCTGGGACCGCAGGCACGTGCCACCATGCCCACCTAATTTTTGTATTTATAGTAAAGACCGGGTTTCACCATGTTGACCTGGATGGTCTCTATCTCTGACCACATGATCTGCCGACCTCGGCCTCCCAGTGTGCTGGGATTACAGGTGTGAGCCACCGCACTCGGTCATTCATTTTCATTTTTATAGAATCAGACAGCTTTTCTCCAGCTGAGTCACCCGCAGCTCATCAGCATCTTTCAGGAGCAGGTATGGGCCTGTGGCCTAGGGAGGCAACTGAGGGCCATGGGCCTCAACCTGTATAGCCTCATGGGCCTATAGCCTCAATCACTTGGAAGCTAGATTAATCTCTGTCACACACACACACTATACAGTTTATAAAGATGTTTTCTTGTGTTCCAGGGCCTGCATCCCATTTTCCTTCCCATTGTTCCAAATCATATGTTCCAACTCAGGGTTCTGTGTTCAACACATTAGGCTTAAAGCCTAATGTGCCAAATGCTCTGTTTGTTGTAAATACATACCACCGCCACCACCACCACCATCTCCTTCTCCTTCCAAGTCTCCTTGGGGTCAGCCAGGCTGGAGGTGAAGTTCCCTTGCATCTGGGCAGAGGAGCTGATATGGCTCACTTCCCTTCTAAGCTGCCTGGTGCGGCCCACCAGCTGGCCGGTGTGCCCACCTGGCTGTGATTCTGAGTGCTGGGACCAGACTAAGGCTGTCACCCCGCCCCACTACAAACTAGTCTGCTCTTCTGGCATCAGGAGCCAGGGGCAGGATGATGTGTTGGTCTCCAGCCAGAGACTGTAGGACCTGCACTCAGACAGCTTCGCCACTTCCCATTATGTGAACCCATACTCTTCTGCGTGGCACTGTGGCATGACGTCTGTTTGGAGTGAGCCCTGTGGGATGAGGCCCACGTGGGGCCCCACATTAGACCCTGGCACCCAAACCTCAGCCCCCAGCCCACCAGTAGTCAGTGTCCCCCTGTGAAAGCAGCACCTATCTGGGCAACCCCAGCAGCTTCCACAACTCATGGCCCATTAAAAAAATAAACAGTAAGATGCCCCTACATTTCTCCTCCTTGGGCCACCTGGGCCACCCACACTGTGGAGCTCTTTTGCCTCTGGCTGGAATTATGTCAACCACCACAGCTCCCAGCTGGATGTACAGATCAGAAGCTCTGAGGGGCAGCCATTTATGTCTTTGATTAATAAAAAATGGGAGATAAATTAATAATGACTTAAAACATGCAATTTGGGATCAAAATCTTCCAAAGCATGAGAAAAATAATAAAAAGAAGAGTTCTTGATAGTGAAAAGCCTGGAAATAAGTGCCGTCTTCAGAGGTCAACCATGAGTCGGGTACTGCCAGGGAGAGAGAAAGAAGGTAGAACGGATTCTCACACCTGCTCCATGCCAGGTGCTGTGCTTGAGATTACGTTGCCCTCATCCTCACACAACTCCAGGAGACTGTGCCACTATCCCCATTTTATAGATGAGCAAACCGAGGTTCACAGAGGCCAAGTTACTTGCCATGGGTCACAGATGAGTAAGAGACTTGAACCTAGGTCTGCTGCATTGACCAAAAAAAAAAAAAGGAAGAAAGAAAGAAAAAAATAGGCCAACAGTGTGGTGCTTGGTAAGTCATTCTGGTTTGAGTTTATGAGGAAGAGGGACAAGTAGACGGAACAGCACATCAGCTATGAATACCAGGAACAATTGACATGATTGACTGCTGTGTCTCCTTCCTGCACCTAGAACAGGGCCTGGAACACATTAGGTGCTCAGGAATGATCTTCAGTGAATGACTAAGATGTCTGGGGGGATAAAGGGGCACAGCCTATTCTGAGGTAGGAGAAAGAAAGTGAATGTTTCTAAGCCCCTAGTTTCTAGAGAGCATTGAACAAGCACAGTTGACTTTTAAAAAAATCTTTAATTATGGAACTATTTCAAACACAGAAAAAGGCAGAAAATAATACAGCAGACTTTGGGGAACTCATTGCCCAGATTCACCAGGTGTTCATATTTTGCCATGTTCATGTCAAGTATTTTTATAGTAAAATACATACACGGATATGGCTAAAAGCCCCGTCACCCCGTCCCATTCCCCTCCATCTATCATCACAGGCCACCACCATCCCTGAAGTTGGTGTGTCTCTTCCTGAGCATTTGGCATTATTTTGGGTTTTTACTTTCCAAGAACAGGTATCTCCCTGTAGCTAACCTTTCACAATGTGCATTTCACTCAGTTATGTTTTGACTTTGTCTATATTGGTACATGTGGATGGAGTTCACTTTAATTGCTGTATCCACTGTCTGAATATACAACTGCGTTTCTCCATCTGCTTTTTGATGGACAAAACAGGCAGTTTTTATTCTTTGCTATTTCAGAGAATGCAGCAATAAAAATCGTTTTTATTATTTTTGAGACTGACTCTTGCCCTGTTGCCTAAGCTGGAGTGCAGCCGTACGATCTTGCCTCACTGCAATCTCCGCCTCCTGGGTTCAAGTGATTCTCCTGCCTCAGCCTCCTAAGTAGCTGGGATTACCACCACACCTGCCTAATTTTTGTATTTTTAGTAGAGATGGGGTGTCTCCATGTTGGCCAGGCTGGTCTAAAACTCCTGACTTCAGGTGATCCACCCGCCTTGGCCTCCCAAAGTGCTGGGATTACAGGCGTGAACCACCACGCCTGGCAGTCAATAACATTTTTAATACACATCTCTGGGTGCACTCATGTGTCACACACAACCTTTACAACAATCACAATATACTGGAACTTGTGTACCCCTACATGACCTTGGAAAACTGCTTGAAGTCTCAGAAGCTTAGTTTCCTTGTCAGTAAATTGGGGTAATAAAATAGCTTGTATTTTGGGGAAGATTCTGTGCTTCAAAGTAGAGGAAACGCATTTGGCCACATGGAAAGCACTTCTTGAAGATTAGTTGTCTATAGCTCAGGTATTCGACATTCAGGAAGTACTGAGCATCCTCCTGTGGCCACGGTACAATGGGCCGGCCCTCATGCTCACATGCAGATGAGGCTGATGGGTACAGTAACGGAAAAGCACACATGCCTCTCTGCTAACTGACCAAGCTGGGGTAGAGGAGACAGGCGAGGCTCCCAGAGGAAGTGACACTGAGCTGAGAGCTTAGAAGATGAGGAGGCAAAAAAGGTGAGTGGGAGATGGGAAGGTGGGAGGCTGGCCAAGCAGAGGAAGATGCAAGTATAAGGGATGGGCTGACGCAAGAGAACATGTCTGGAGCCTGAGAGGTAGGTGTGAGCGGGCCATGGCATAGAATAAGTCTGGAGAGGCAGGCAGAGCAGACAGGCCATACCCCAATACTATAGGGAAACAGGGAAGGATTTCAAGCAGGGGAGTGACAGACTTGGATTTGTGTGGGAAAAATGGGTCTGGTCTTGGCATGGAGGTGGCATGGAAGGGAGACTGGGAGATGGGAGACCCATGAGGGGGAGTGCTGAAGTGGCACCGGTAAATGCGGTGAGGGGTGAACTGAAGCTGCCGCCGCTTCTGCTACCAATAATCTGTTGCCTTCCTGAAGCTCGGGATGCATGCACACAGGGAGCTCTGTCTGGCTCACAGATTGCAAACACTTTGTTGACCTCTCCATGCCTGTATGTCATGTCTAGCTCCTAAGTCTCCCTTCTCCCACTGCAACATCACACGGTGGCCATGCCTCCCACAACACGCAGTGGGCATCATCAGAGGAACAGCAGCTGATGGATGACAGAAGCACCCCCTCCCGCCCCAGCTCCAAGAGGTCTGAACTCACACACCACACCCCACACTCTTCTTGGGCTTGCTCAGCACCTTGTAGGGCATAGTACCTGGCCCCGCACTCTCAAAGTTTCCAGGTGACAGGAGCCCTTTAGGCTTCTTGGCAGCAGGGGCATGACTGGGTCCTCACCAATGTCCCATGATAAGAGATCCCACCAGCAGCCAGGCTGCAAAGAACCTACACAGACTGAGGGAAAGAGGAGGTCAACACATTCTAGGACAAAAGGGCTGTTGGTTACCACTGGGCGGCCTTATCTATTATCTAAACATCATACATCTATAGCGAGACAGGGACAGAGACACAACTGTCCCAGACTCTCTACTCCGTAAGGGGAGACCCCCTTTTTGATTTTTTAATTTTATTATTATTATTGTTATTTAGACAGGGTCTTGCTCTGTCACACAGACTGGAGTGCAGTGGCTTGATCACAGCTCACTGCAGCCTCGACCTCCTTGGCTCAAGCAATATTCCCACCTCAGCCTCCAAAGTAGCTGGGACTATAGGCGCACACCACCACGCCAGGCTAATCTTTGTATTTTATTTTTATTTTTTGTAGAGACAGGGTTTTGTCATGTTGGCCAGGCTGGTTTTGAACTTCTGGGCTCAGGCAATCTGCCCGCTATAGCCTCCCAAAGTGCTGGGATTACAGGTGTGGGCCACCGGGCCTGGCAACACTCTTAATATTGAGAGATTTCGAAGCTTCTGAAGCCTCTATCCCTAGTGGCAGTGGTGCGCCCTGGCCTTGCCCTAGACTAGGCTAAAGCCCCTGCCATCCATTCTCCCAGCACTCCGCACTTCCCTTCTCATGATGCCATCCCTTTTACAACGACAGGTTGAGTTTCTGCCTTCCTTGCTAGGCCGTAAGTTCCCCCATGGACATAACTGCATCTGCCTGGTGTGCTGTTATTCCCCTGATGTCTGAACAGAGTCAGGCTCCTGACGGGCCCCCGCTATTTGGAGCTGAGTCAATAGGACGTGCTAACTGAGGGAGAGGAAAGGGTGGAGGAAGACTCGCAGACCTCAGAGGCCTGGGGAGAGGAAAAGTGTCTTGCCCAAGTCACAGGCTAGGCAGGAAGAGATCACGGTTCCTGCTCGGAATCTCTGACTCTCAGTCAGGGCCTTTCCCACTCATTATACCGTGCTAGAAAGAGGTTTCGAAACCCATAGAAAAGTGTTCTATAGTTAAATAAGCTTGAGAAACTCTGGGTTAAACAAAATGAAAGGAGTTTCTTTGCCACGGATCTTTTCAGAGCCTTTAACACGCTCCTATGCCCATGCTTCTGGGAGAAGGTCACACACAGTACTCCACGCTCTCTGACCCTGGAACTCTGCCTGTGAAACAGTTTGAAACCTCTGGCACCATCCCCCAGCTGTGTATCATAATTATTTATGAAATGTGACACAGTAGAGAGATTTGTGGCAATTTTTTTTGCGTGGGATAGGAAAATCCTTTTGTACAAATAGTTACTCCAAGCCCAATATACGAACAGGATAAAAAACGAACTGCTCTGGTTGAAGGGGTCTGGGGATCCATCTGGAGCTGTCCCTTCACTGCTGCTATGCAAAGAGCCCTCGTTTTCTTCGGAGCACAGTTTGAAAACCACTGGTGCAGAACTCATACATGAGGCTGAAACTAGGAGGCTTGTAGTTTTGGCTCTGCCATGGACTGTTTTACCCTGGGAAAGTCATTTAGCCTCACTGGGCTTCAGTTTCCCCATGTACACAATAAGTCTGTCACACTATGTTCCTTGGAGTCCTGAACTTTCAGCTTTGATATGGTGAGGAGTGTACTTCTATGACTATAAAAGTCTAACTCTAAGATTCCATGGCTTAGTATTCCAATTCTGGGACTGCCTGTAGCCAGCCCGAGCTGGTGCAGCATGCCGGAGCCCAAGCTGTGAAAAGCAGAATTCATTAGCTGCAGTGCGTTGCCCAGGGGCACTGGGCTCCTGGGGTGGGTGACTGGAATCAGTAGCCACTCAGTGGGCAGAGCTGGGAGAGGGACCCAGGTCTCCTGACTCCTGCTCTATCTTTAGATCTCCATAGCAACAGTCGCTAGGGCACCGAGCTGAAGGCACAGGCTGAGATGCTGCCTGCAGGAGGGAGGGGCATTTCCTTCCCGAGCCTCTTCTTTTGCTAGGCGCGGTTCTTGAGCCAGGAAAGGGGAGTGAGAATGAAGCTGTTCACAGCAGGAAAGGTTTGGGGTCAATACAAAGACAGTCCAGGGCCCCATCTTGCTCTCAGGACATGGTCAAGTCATAGAACCCAAGACCTTTTTGTGTCAGGCTCATGGCACTGGAGTAAAGGTAGGGTCCTACTCCAAAGAGCTCTTGGCCTCTCCTGTGTCCTTCCCTACACACCCAGGAGCCCCTAATCTGAGATGGTGCTGAGGCCACAGCTGTAGCCCCCAAGAGATCCTCTAATCAGAAGGGCCAGCGAAGCTCCTCCTGACTCTTCCCCTGCCCAACTCCTACTCCTCCTGGGGCTCTCAGCCTGGACTTGGCTTCCTCTGAGGAGTCCTCCCTGACTCCCAGGCTGGCTGCTCACCTCCTCTGGATGCCTATAGTCTGTCTTTCCGCCACATAGTAGGAGGCCAGGAGGAGTTATTAATCTCAAGGGGCAGTAAATACACTTGCCCAAGGACACCTGGCAAATGAGCAGCAGGACCAGGCCTGGACTCCGTGTGTTCTGATTTCTGTCTGTGCTCCTTCCTGGGTCCCAGTAGCAGGCCCCTGGCCTGGGCTTTGGAAGGCAGGCCAGGGCTAGAAGAGGAAGTAGGAGTCCTCAGTGAGGCCTGCACACAGTAAGCACCTGGCTATGTCCTTGGTGAACTCAGCCGAGCCACAGACCAGTGCGAATGGCTTTCTCCGACAGCAGCTGACCAGCTCTTTAATCAGGTCCTGGCCCAGGTGGCCAAAGTGGGTCTTCTCTTGGTAACTCCAGGGAAGCTGCTCTGGGGAGCTCTCCTGGGATGACAAGAAAGGTATGGGTGACTACGAGGGAGCGAGGGGTCCTTAGTGTTCACACAGCCAGCTCGTTTCTGAAAAATGAGGAAACTGAGGCAGAAAGGGTAGGAAGCCAACCTGTATCCAGCTCCACCACGGGCCAGGCACTTCCTCACCCGCAAAACAAGCCTGTGGGAAGGCTATCACCCTCCCATGACAAGAGAGGCCCAGGGAAGAGGAACTTCCCCAGGGCACACAATGAGGTGGGGACAGCAGCAGGACTAGAACTCAAGTCCTGCCATTTCTCATTGCCTCCCAGCAGCCATTGCACCTGCCACTGTGGAGGAATGTTTTCTCCCGACTGTGGGTTTCCCAGAATCTTTCCACCATTAGCCATCATCATCACCCTCGGAGCATAACTTTTGCTCATTTGTTTTAAGGTTTCAATGAACATATTCATTTAGCAGATATTTACCAAGTGCTTACTCTGTGCCAGGCACTGAGCTAGCCACTGGGGATATGGCAGCTGCTCAAAACAGACAAGGGTCCTGGCTGCATACAACACAGATCCCAAGTCACGGTGCCTTCATCCAGAAAGGCTAAGCTTGCATTCCAAGGCTGGACTGTGCCCCCAGGGACCCAGGATCCTTCTCTCTGCCCTTCTAGCCTCAGCTGTGGCTTTCCTCCTCAGGGTCACAAAATGAAGGCTCCACTCCCAGGTGACTTGAAGAAAATGTATTTACATGAACATTTTATTGGAATACAACATACGTGTAGAAAAGTGTACAAAGCATTAAGTATACAGTGGGCATTAATTACACCAGCACTGCGGCTCTCTGAACAGTGGCTAGTATACAGCTAGCCCTCTGTATCCACGGGTTCCACATTTGTGGATTCAACCTTGTGGATTGAAAATATTTTTAGAAAAACATTAAAAAATAACAATATAGTAATGAAAACACAAATAAAAAATAATACAGTATAACAGCCACTTACTTTACATATTAGGTATTATAATTTAGAGATGATTTAAGGCACGTGGGAGGATGTGCATAGGTTATATGCAAATACCACACCATTTTATATCAAGGACTTGAGTATCCTCAGATTTTGGTATCTGCAGGGGGTCCTGGAATCAAGCCCCCATGGATACCTAGGAACAACTATATATATAGTCTGAAGAATTTAAATGAAGAAACTATGTAACCAGCCCACAAAGAAAAAAAATCGAAAACAGAGCTATCATTCTGCAGATCCTATGAGGGCAAGTTGCTAGTTCCTGGGGCTAGGTACAAAGACAGGATTGGTGGGGGGTAGAGCTGCACTGCCACTTTCCTGGCTGAGTGACTGTGGCCTCTCAGGATCATGACTGTGAGGAGAGTATCTGCAATGGAAAGCCACTGTCCAGAGAGCCGCAGTGCTTGTGTAAGCCCTGGCAGAGGCCAGTGAGGAGTGGCCTGTATTCTGAGGCATACTCAAAGAGCCCTGGAGGTAGGTGCAGTGGCTCATGCCTGTAATCCCAGCACTTTGGGAGGCTGAGGTGGGAGGATCGCTTGAGCCCAGGAGTTCAAGACCAGCCTGGGCAATGTGACAAAAGCTGATCTCTATGAAAAATATGAAAATTAGCTAGGGATGGTGGAACATGCCTGTAGTCCCAGTTGCTTGGGAGGCTGAGGTAGGAGGATCATCTAAGCCCAGAGAGGTTGAGGCTTCAGTGAGTTGTGATTGCACCACTACATTTCAGCCTGGGCAACACAGTGAGACCCTGTCTCAAAACACAACACAACAAAACAAAATAAACAGGGTCCCTGGAGTCCTATGTCACAGAGCCTGTGCTAATGAGGGATGTATCCTCTCTGATGATCTGGCATTTCCCATGATCTCGCTATGGTCTGACCCACCAGATGAGGCCTTGGGGCCCACTGGCCTCACCTTCCCTTTCCACTGCTTAATTTCCTCAGACCACTTAGGTTCAGCACAGCCCATCCCACCATGCACCCTGAGATGCCCTGGGCCTGGCTGCTGCTGAGATGGGTAGGGGACCCCACAAACAGTGATGGTGCGGCAGGTGGGTGCTGTGAAGGAGAGCCAGGGCAGTGGCAGCAGAAACACCAAGGCCACCCTGGGAGCTCTAGGAAAGCTTCCAGAATGCACTTATACCTCAACAGGAATGTGAGAGCTACAGAGGTGTGAGATGAGGAAGGGGGAGCACTCCTGGCAAGGGGAATGGTGTGAGCAAAGGCCCAGCAGCCAGAAAAGCACAGCACATTTACAACCATGGGCAGACCAGTGACATCAGGCCACAGCTTACAGGGAAGGTGGGCTAGGAGATGAGGCCACAGAGGGTGGCAGTTCCCGGGCTTAGACCTCATCCTGTGAGCAGTAGGGAGCCAAGGAAGGGCTGGAAATGGGGTGGTGTTATAGTCAGATCTGCCCTCAGCACTGCAGGATAAATTGGCATGGAGTGGCTAGGATGGGAAGGCTTGGAATGCTGCAGCTGTGGCCCAGGCAGGGGAAGGAGCACGCTGAGTCAAGAGACTGTGGACAAGCAAGAGCCACCAGTCACCCCTTCACCACTGATGGCCAGCCTACTTGCCTACCCAACCCCCAGGCCACTACCACCGCCCTGGCCTAGCTGGGAGCTGAAGATCTTCTATTGCTAGTGAACTTTAATGTAAATGCCACATACTTGGTAAAGCCCTCCTGACCCTGCTTGGCCTCTCTTGCCCACCGCTGGCATCCTGAATACCCTCACAGCACCTGTGCTGTGCTGCTTTATGCGCAGCCTTTGAGCAGGACCTCCTGGGTTCATACTCCACTCTCCACTAACCAGCTGTGTTACCCTGGGCAAGGTTCTTAACCATTCTGTGCCTCGGTTTCCACATCTGTACAAGGAGCATGATAGGCATATAAGCCTCCTAAGATTGTGGTGGAGATTAAATGAGTTAATAAAGTGCTTAGAATGGTGCTGGGTATAGAAAATGTGCTGAATGAAGGAGAGTCCTTTTCAGCCATCTCTGTGGCTGTCACCCATAGATAGGTGGACAGCCGGGGGGCTGGGAGTGGGTCACCTTCACTGTTGTGTCTCTGATACCTGGCATGTACTCAGGCAACAGAGGAGGGAAAGGAAGACCGGCCAGCAGCTTGGGGACTCTCTGCCAGGTGCCTGCCTTCCTGCCCTCATCCAGGCATCCTTGCCCAGGTTCACAGGCAGGCTGTCTGTGCTGCTGGGCAATGGTAGCCCATCCCGCGTGCCCACCCTTCAGGCTGCATGTTAGCCTTTGGCTCCATTCCCCTCCCTTGGGCACTTTCCTGCTGCCATGAATGTTCACCATGCTCTCAATGTCATGCCACTGAGCATTCTGCCCCATGGACAGGCCCGCAGACCACAGCCCCTGGGGAGCCTAGGGACCCTGATATTGGGACAGGAAATCCAATTTCCTTATCCCCCACACCCAGCCACAATATTGAGGATCAAATAAGTGTTTAGGGACTATATAAAGCTGTCTCATAGGGGGACCAGATGAGAAGGCACTCCACAGGATCAGGCAAGAAGGCTGACCCTGAGCACCACGGAATGCAGGGGGCCCAGCAGGAGCCCCAACCCAGGGGGGACAGGAGGGAAAAGTTAAGCTGCCAAACAGGGAAAGGCAGGCCACCAAAGGTAGCTGAGGGCCTGGCTTGAGATGAGGGGCAAAGATGAGGCCTGTGCTCTGGCCTATGGGGGTGGCCCTAGAAGGTTCACCTGCGTGAACAGAGGGGATATGGAGTCAGATGGAGAAGGGCTCAACAGGGAGAGTCACTGCCAGCTAAGGCGGGGTCCTCCTATGGAGGGACAGGCTAAGGTGGGAGGATACTAGCAAGCTCAGGGAATTCAGATCAGTTTACTCCAGCAGTCACTGACGGAGTCCCTGTTCTGTGTCTGGCATTATGCTAAGAACTCAAGAGAGAGTGCTGAGGCAGACATGTGGTCCCTGCCTCAAGGAACATCACTCAGCTGGAGGGAAGTCTGCAGCCTGCCCCAGCCCCCACAGCCAGGCCCCTGCCCATGTCACTGATGATGCCAGAGGGCAATGGGAGGCAGGAATGCATGGGGTGAGAGCCAGAGTTTGGCAACCAGACAGCCCTGGGCTCAAATTCTGGCCTCAACCCTGTCCAGCAGCGTGAGCCTGTGGACAGCTTCACTCCCAGAGCGTGCATCTCCTCATCTGTATAATGAACATGAGAATACCTGTCTTCTGTGCCACGTACAGGTAGGTGCTCCACCGGTGGCAGGGATTATGATTACACTGTCTATTGCCAAAGAGGCTACAGCTCGTCCTCAGGACAGGTGCAAAGGGACTGCAGAGTCTCAATCAAGAAAGGAAGTCACCATCCTGGGCTCACCTGGCTAAGTACAAAGAAGGTACGGACGTTCCAGAAACGGGCCTGCTCTTGGAGGAAGGTTTTCAAGTAGATGCTCTCAAAGGTCTTGAAGCAACCAACCAGAGTGACAAAAGTCTCATCATCCTCATTGTCTGTGATGCTCTGCAGGATGGGCACCATGGGGGCCAGGCCCGTGCCCGCAGCCAGCATGAGGAGTTCACCATACTGGGAAATAGAACAGGTATGTATGACAGGTGGATTGGGGGAGTCTCACCCTGTCCCCTCTACTACGGGGTTTTTCCTCGTGTTTCCTTCAACTGGACGGCAGTGCCCTTCCTGGGTGTCCAACCACCTATGTCCCCTCTCTACCTCCTCCAGAAAGCCAACTTTACTTGTGAAAGGCATGTGAGGTTTGAGTAACGGAGATGATAGGATATGGGGGCTGAAAGGGAACATAATATTATAGCCATTCCTGTAAGTGGCCTAGCTGCCTACTAAAGCATCTCCACAAGGACTCTCTGCTTACACACTTCTGCTGACAGGGAGCAAATTACTTCCCAAGGCAGTTTGCTCTACTATAGGCCAAGTCCTTTGCCAGAGAGGTCTTCATAACTTACGCTGAACTGAAATCGGTTCCCATCAAAGCCTTGGCCACTCCCAACACCATCCAGCCCTGGAATGCTTCCTCTGCCCCAGGGTACCTCTGCAGAGATCTCAAGGGCCCACCTTGGACCTCTGAGCTTGCTCATCTCCAGGCTAAATGAAAAAATATATATAAGCATGTAGCACAGCACTGGCACAAAAGAGTCACCTGAAAAAGGTGAATTCCCAGCTGGGTGTGGTAGCTTACGCCTGTAATCCCAACACTTTGGGAGGCTGAGGCAGGTGGATCACTTAAGGTCAGGAGTTTGAGACCAACACAGCAAAACCCCATCTCTACTAAAAATACAAAATTTAGCCGAGCGTGGTGGTGCATGCCTGTAGTTCCAGCTACTCAGGAGGCTAAGGCAGGAGAATCACTTCAACCTGGGAGGTGGAGGTTGCAGTGAGCCAAGATCATGCCACTGCACTCCAGCCTGGGTGACAGAGAGAGCAACTCAAAAAAAAAAAAAAAAAAAAAGGTGAGCTCCCACCCCAAGAGGTCCCAGTTCCATTAACTCCTCCTCACTGAATTTATTTCTTGGCTCTAGTTCTCTTAAAGAGGGGTGACCTCTTTAAGGTCAGTGCCTTAAAGGTTAGTACCTGAGCAATGCTTTAAGTATCTTTAAGGCACAGACCTTAAAGAGGAGTATTCACCTCCCTCATTCTAGAGATTAGGCCTCTGGGTATAAATCCACAACCATGTGATCTGGGCAAGCTCTTTCACCAATCTGAACCTTAGTGTCCTCAGTGGTAAAAAAAGAAAAGCACTTTCCCATAATAACACCTATCTCAGAACTATTACAAATATTAAATAAGATGAAGAAACGTTGGCTGGGTTTGGTGGCTCATGCCTGTAGTATCAGCTACTCAAGGCTGAGACAGGAGGATCGCTTGAGCCCAGAAGGTTGGAGCTATAGTGTGCCATGATCATGCCACTGCACTCCAGCTGGGCAACAGAGTGAGACTCTGTCTCAAACAAAACAAAACAAACAAAAAAGAAAAGTGCCTGGTGCAGATCCAGTTAGATTCCTCCCCTTCCCTAAGCTGTGGAGACTCCTGCCTGGCAGCTACCGCTCCTCCTCCCATCCCAGCTTGGGCTATCCTCCGGGATGCTTTCCCCGATCCGGGGCAGGGGAGGGTCCTTTCTTTGTTTCCACAGCTCCCTCTGAGTTCCTCCACACCACACTGGCCACACTGTGCTGCTGTCATCTGTCTGGGTATCTGACTCCCCCAGCAGACTATGAGCTTCTGGAGGACAGGGGCCTTATCTGACCCATCTCTGGGTCCCCAGAGTCCAGCACAGGCCTGGCCCTGGGTGGACGCTTGTGTCTGTTTGTTGAATGAATGCACAGACAGATGCTAATATATCAGTCCACAGGGCTGCTATAATATCCCTCTGTAATGAAGATGACTGCAGAGTAGTAAAACAGGGCCCAGAAGAGGGCAGGAGCTTCCCAGACGTCATTGCGGGGTGAAACCAAGGCTTACTGAAATTTCAGTGAACGCATATTAAGGTGTGAGACACCATTTCTTTTTCCTCACCATCAGGCCCTACAACCTCCCTAGATAAGAGGTGCAGGAGCTGGACATGGTGCCTCATGCCTGTAATCCCAATACTTTGGGAGGCTGAGGTGAGGATCACTTGAGCCAAGAAGTTTGAGACCAGCCTGGACAACCTGGCAAAATCCTGTCTCTACAAAAAATACAAAACTTAGATGGGCATGGTGATGTACATGTAGTCCCAGCTACTCGGGAGGCTGAGGCAGGAGGACTGCTTGAGCCCAGTAGGTGGAACTGCAGTAAGCTATGACAGCACTCCAGCCTGGGCAACAAGGAGGGAGGGAAAGCAGGAAGGCAGGAAGGCGGGAAATAAATGTAGGGCCTTTCAAGTGTTCTATGCATGTGAAGGAGAAGCCACAAGGCATAGGGAGGCTCCACCAGAAAAGGCGGTCAAGACAACGTTCAATTGTTACCCACTCTAGGCCAGGAGGAAACACAGTCTATTCCCTGCTCTCAAGGACCTGGGGGATGCAAGGCTAAGCATGGTTAGTACTAGGAGGATACCATGAAAGAGTATTAACATATGCATAGGTTTATGGGAAGATACAGAAATTAAAGAATTTTTTTAAAAAAGAAAAAAAACATATGCATAGCACATGTCTGTAGAATGGGAGTTGTGGCACCTAAGTGCTGCTGTGAAGATTATGTAAGTCACTATATAGCAAGTGCTAAGGTCCGAGCCTGGCACGCATGAGGTGCTACAAGTGTTTGATATCATTATACATACATATTACACATGTGCATGCAGTGTGCATTTGTACATATACTCATGTGGAAGAGGATTTGGAAGGATATACACCAAGTAAGATGGGTGTGTCTAGGTAGATTGCCTGTGTGTTTTATTTTCTTCTTTTTGTGTCTTTCCATCTGCTGATTTTTGGGTAATGAACGCGTACTGCATTTATAAAAGGGAAAAAACAATAAAAGCTATTTTTCTGTTTCTTTCTTTCTTTTTTTTTTTTTGAAAGAGTTTCTCTCTGCTGCCCAGGCTGGAATGCAGTGGCAAGAGGAAACCTCTGCCTCCTGTGTTCAAGCAATTCTCACACCTTGGCCTCCCAAGTGGCTGGGATTACAGGCTTGTGCCACCATGCTTGGCTAATATTTTTTGTATTTTTAGTAGAGATGGGGTTTTGCCATGTTGGCCAGGCTGGTCTCAAACTCCTGACCTCAGGTGATCCACCCTCCTCAGCCTCCCAAAGTACTGGGATTACAGGCGTGAGCCACTGCACCCAGCCAATAAAAGCTATTTTAAAATTAAACAAAAAGAATGGAGAAGAAGGCATGATTCATTATTTTCCATTTGTTTTCATTTTGCTTTGTTTTCCTAATTATAAAGGTAATAGGTGTTCACTGCAAATGATTTAGAAAAGTATAATGAAGAAAATAAAAATCACCCATAATTCCACCACCCAGAGTTGCTAACATTTCAATGCATTTTCTTTTCTTTTCTTTTCTTTTTTTTTGAGACGGAGTCTCGCTCTTGTTACCCAGGCTGGAGTGCAATGGCGCAATCTCGGCTCACCGCAACCTCTGCCTCCTGGGTTCAGGCAATTCTCCTGCCTCAGCCTCCGGAGTAGCTGGGATTACAGGCACGCGCTACCATGCCCAGCTAATTTTTTGTAGTTTCAGTAGAGACGGGGTTTCGCCATGTTGACCAGGATGGTCTCGATCTCTTGACCTCGTGATCCACCTGCCTTGGCCTCCCAAAGTGCTGGGATTACAGGCGTGAGCCACTGCGCCCGGCCCGCATTTTATTTTCATAGTTTGTGCATTTTAACTTAGTTTCCCAACCTCCTGTATATTCAGTTTTGTACCTAGCATTTGTCACTTGATCTTACAGTGTAAGTATAACATCATTTATAAACATAATCTTAAAATCCAGGATATTACTTTATCAAGTACCTATAACCCAGTGTATTTAACTGTTCCCCTGTTGTTGGATATTCAGTTGTTTCCAATTTTCGGCTATTATAAATAAAGATGCAATGAACAAACGCCAAAGAGCCAGCATTTTGATTCATTCCATAAGACAGTCATTCAGAAGTGGAATTAATGGGGCAAAGGATTTGAAGATTCGGAAGACTCTTGGTACACACTGTCAAAATGCATTCTAGGTATGCACCAACAGATGAGGAACTGCAAATTCTTCCTGGGAAAGTTAGGGAAGGGTTTGAACATGCCAGGATGATGGGGGAAGAGCCATTGGAGCTAGGAAGTAGTAGGCTCCCAAACAGGAAGCCATGGGGTATATTTAGTCATGTGACTGCACTGTGAAACTGGAAAGGCGTCTGAGGTAGAGAGCTCCTAAACGCCAAGTATGTGAGTCTGACGTTCTAAGCAGTGGTCACCCTGGGTAGCTTTGAAGCTGGCCAGGCAGTTTCATTTATAAGTGTCTATTCCAGGGCCGGGCGCGGTGGCTCAAGCCTGTAATCCCAGCACTTTGGGAGGCCGAGGCGGGTGGATCACGAGGTCAAGAGATCGAGACCATCCTGATCAACACGGTGAAACCCCGTCTCTACTAAAAATACAAAAAATTAGCTGGACATGGTGGCACGTGCCTGTAATCCCAGCTACTCAGGAGGCTGAGGCAGGAGAATTGCCTGAACCCAGGAGGCGGAGGTTGCGGTGAGCCGAGATCGCGCCATTGCACTCCAGCCTGGGTAACAAGAGCGAAACTCCGTCTCAAAAAAAAAAAAAAAAAGAAAATAAGTGTCTATTCCATCTCTTCCCATGTCCAACCCCCAGGATACACTTGGGATTGGGTTTGAGCTCAGGGATAATAGCATAGTGAGATACTGTGGGCTGCAACATGAAAACCACAGTCAACGGGGGGGTCTCTAGAAGATTTAAGGTGCTGGCACTGACCTGGTTTGGTTTATAGAAGAAATCTCCAAAAGGTCCTCGCCAGAAAGCTATGGCTCCTGCTCTCCAGGACTCAACATACCGAGACATCAGCCCCATCTGGTAGCACTGGAAGCAAAGACAGGGAGACGTCAGTAGGACAAGTACATGCTGTCAACACAAACCAGATTAGCCATTAATGTCGAGCCCATTCTGTACGCTAAGTGCTTCATATGTGTTATTCTCATTTAATCGTCCTCTTCATCCTAGAAAGTTGGTACAGCCAATCCCAGTTTTCAGATGAGGCCCAGAAGCTTACCCAGAAGGTAGACAGGAGGCTGGGATGAGAATCCATAGGACCTAAAGCCTTCAGCATAGAGGTCCCAAACCCGAATACCCACAGGGACCATGCAGGTACCATAAATGAGTGAATAGCTGGGTGATGATTAATAGCAATTAACACACAGTCTCAGTGTCAGGGAGCCAATAGGGAGTGATGGGGACTATGATAAATTGGTGAGCGAATGCTCCTTCTAAGAAGGGAAGCCACTTTGCAGGTTTCAGTCCATAGTTTTCGGGGCCTAATTGGCCAGATCTATTGAATTTTCAAAAGCAGCAGGAAATCCATATTTTTATTTAAAATCTCCCATTTCTGAAATGTCTGCAATTAATTTAAAATTTTAAAACTCTATACTGGCCAATACCAAATACATTTGTGGGCTAGATTCACTTTGCAGGCCACCCATCTGCAATCTCTGCATTATTCTACACCATCTCCTGACTGGATGAAAAATGAAGGTTATAGGAGTGAATTCTCCATGGGGACGGGAGACTATATTTCCTGGATCACTGCCCACTCTGTGCCAGGCACCATGCCGAGGACGCAGGCAAGACAGCTAGATCTTAAGCTTCATGAAAGCAGCCAGTGCCTGAACCATGGAAATAACTTAATAAATATCTAAATGAATGAATGAATCAATCCATCCAGATTCAGGCTCTCCCCTTAAGGAGCTCACGATCTAGAAGGAACCTAAGTCTCAGACATATACAAGGGAGAGACCAACCATCTAATACCCACGAGAAAAATAAACTAGGAATAAACCTGAGAAGGGTACAGTCACTTCCATAGATGGAATCAAGGACGGCTTCCTGGAGGAGGAAGCATTTGAGTTGGACCTTGAAATATGGGCAAGATGGAATTCACTGGGGATGGGAGCAGGGGTGCAGAGAGGACTCTGGACATCAGGTGTAGTATGGTCAGGTGTAGGACAGCCTGGATCATGTTTTGGGAACAGCAAGTGAACATGGTAGGGTGAGGGTGAGGGCAAAGCACTGGGAGACAGGACTGGAGTGGTGTTTGGAGTAAGATTATAGCCAGGTTTAATGGAGAGACAGGGCTTTGGCCCCCAGACCTGTTTTTAAGCACACAACCATCTCCAGTATCATCCCTGCCTTCCTTGGGCACCACCTGCACAAGGCAAGGGAAGTCCCTGGCTCAACTGGAAGGGGTCTGAAGGAAAGGTGTGGTTTTTCTCCTGCCTTGCTGGAGGCTGTCTCCATGAAAACTTTGTTTTCTGGCCCCAGTCTATGGGGAGGCATGACCCCAGCTGTGGCCTTAGAGGCCACATGGCATACATAGATAGCACCCAAGGAGAAGGGAAGGATTCTTCTATGTTGTCTTTAGTACTCTGACATGGCTTGGCTATATCCCCATTCAAATCTCATCTTGAATTTCCATGTGTTGTGGGAGGGACCCAGTGGGAGGTAACTGAATCATTGGGGCTGGTCTTCCCCATACTGGTCTCATGAGATCTGATGGTTTTATAAAGAAGAGTTTCCCTGCACAAGCTCTTTTCTCTTGTCTGCCACCAGGTGAGATATGCCTTTCGCCTTCCACCATGATTGTGAGGCCTCCCCAGCCATGTGGAACTGTGAGTCCATGAAACCTCTTTCTTTGGTAAATTGCCCAGTCTCAGGTATGTCTTTATCAGCAGTGTAAAAAGCAACTAATACACACTCACACAGAGCCTGTTACAGAGTAAATGTTCAACACATACTTGTTAAACAGAACTGACACTGAAGTTTTGTCCTTATATTACCCCAGGGGCCTTGGGACAAATGATGTCATCTTCTGAGCTTCAGTTTCTTCATCTGTAAAATGGGAACAATATGATCTACTCTGCAGGGTGATTACAAGGTTGAAATAAGATAATTAGAATAAAGAGCCAGAGGCAGTGCCTGATGCCCAGAAGGTGCCTGAGAGATGAGAGGTCCTCCTTCCCTTCTGCATGGGAGGGTCAAACAATAAGCCCTGCCTGCCTTCCCAATTTGCAAAGACATTTCTGGCTCCTCCTAGCCAGTGGCTTAGAGATAATTAAGCATCTCTCTAAAGAGAGGCTTTCTGGTAAACGAAGGGCAAAATCAGCCTTGCAGCTGGGAGAGATCCAGCTGCCCTGAAGAACTGTCTCCAGGCTTATGCTTTCCACAGAAACACACCCTGACGAGCAGCTTGGGGAAGCAGGTCATTTGGAGAGGATTTGTGGAATCTCCCAGACAAACAGTTGCGTGAAGGGATCCCATCCAAGCTTATGTGTGAGGGAATAAACACTCAGGCTCACAAGGCAGGCAGGAAGGCAGGAGCTGGAGACAGTGCTAAGGTCTCGGGGTCAGGGTGCAGGACTTATGCACTGGCGGCATTTCTTACTAGCTGTGGGGCCATGGGGCCTCCGGGGGACTCAGTTTGCTTGTCAATGAAATACAGATAATAATTCATGTCTTTTAAGGTAGATTAAAGATGTAAACACTATTCTTACATATTAGTAATATGATTCCATTTGGGAAATGATGATCTAGAGCTGTATTAGGTTGACCGATATGAAGCTGATGTTTCTTTAAGTCAAAAAAGTTAGAATAGCAGCAGTTTCATGTAGCTTAACCTAATTATTCTTTCCATGTAACTGAGCCTCCACAACTTCTTACATATTTGTTGCCTATTCCTTGGGTCTCCAGGGTGTTTTGTATTCAGTCTACTTTATTCATCTCATCTCTGCCAACTCCTCCATCCACCCGACCTGCCCCACAAGCACCCTCTCCTCCTGTCTCTCAGGCTGGGTAGTTCCCAGAAGACTTGTTCTATTTCACTCCTCTCAACTTTTGGTTAACCATCCCTTCAGCCTAGAATGCCATTTACGGTCACTGCCAATTTGTAATCCTTCTTCAAGGTCCAACTCAAATGCCCATGGTTCTGCCCACCTCCACCTGAGAGGTGATGTCAGGTTAGTCCTGTCCACAAGCTCCTCCGTGTCCCACATCTTGACTAATCCTCTCAGCTTGTATTCTGTTCCCTAAGCACACCTCCCTTCCGTTCCAGGAAAAAGAACTTACTTCCCCATTGCCTTTGTCCATGTTGTTCCCAGCACTGAGTTTCCTTCCTACATTTTCCCTCTAGCTCTCCACTCTTTAGACACATGGCTTCTCCAAGGAAGCCCAGCCTGCCTCCCCTGCACCCCAGCTGCTGAGTGGGCTGGGCCTCTTTATGTCAGGAAATCTGTCACACTGTATCATCCTAATCTTGTTGCTTGTCCTGGGCAGGTATCCTGAGGGCAGGCACTGTGCCTGACTTACCTCTGGAACCCCGTGCTCAGCACACAGTGGGTATGGGGGACCTTGGCTCCCCTTCCCTGCCCAGCTTGGTACTCACTCTCCATGGATGGCAGAAAAGTGAGCGGAGCAGCTTTCCCTTCTTCCCCTTCTCAGTCTGAGCCACCTTTTAGTAAAATCTTTCAGGGGTATACTGGAATAGACCTCTGTTGGTAGTCTAGCAGCAGTCCCTTCCCCAGGAAAGCAGATGGAAAAAGGCCTTCACCTGTCCCTGCTCCTCCCTCAAGTCAGCCTCCTTTCCTGTGAACCCTGGCTTTTCCCACATTGGTAGGAACTTCCCCCTCATGACCAACTTGGCAAAGGAGGCACAAGTCCATGGCGTCTTAGAGCATCCTCAAGGGTCAACTTACCTTAATTAACACTTCAAAGTATCCTTCTGCGTTGGCAGGGCTGATAGGCGTATAGGCTCTCTGAATTTCTAAGTCATCTACTATCCCTCTAGGAAAGAGAAGCATGCAATCAGTCAGCCAGTCATTCAACAAACCCTTATGAGGCCAGGCACGGTGGCTCATGCCTGTAATCCCAACACTTGGGGAGGCTGAGGCAGGCAAATCACTTGAGGTCAGGAGTTTGAGACCAGCCTGGCCAACATGGTGAAACCCATCTCTGCTAACAAAAAATTTAGCCAGGTGTGGTGGCTCACGCCTGTAGTCTCAGTTACTTGGGAGGCTGAGGCACAAGAATCATTTGAACCTGGAAGGTGGAGGTTGCAGTGAGCCAAGATCATGCCACTGCACTCCAGCCTGGGCAACAGAGCAAGACTCTGTCTCAGACAAACAGACAAAGAACCGCAAATCCTTATGAGGCGCCTCCTCTGCCAGAATGGCCAAAGTAAAGGTCCTCACTGAGAGGCAGGCAAGGTGCAAGAGGGGAAAAAAAAAGAATACTGAGCACATCCACTGCCACGTGCTGGCTGTGAGATCCCAGTAGATCATCTGATTCCTCATGGCCCCTTCTGTAAAATGTGGACAGCTATCTGCATTCCAGTTGGGTGGCTCCTCTGGGACTACAGATGGGAGAGTGCTTCAAAAGTGCACCGAGGATGTAAGTTGTTTTGGGGATATGACTAACATTTTTCCTGACCTCTTCTCTGCCACAGAATGATAAAGATAAAAACAACTGCTAACATTTATTAAACACTTACTAGCACCTGGAAGAAGCATTGGGACTGGAAGGATCCTCAAAGGTGCCCTAGTCTAAAGCCCTATCTCATGCATGAATCCTTTATGTTACCAACAACAGGGTCAGGATAACCACCATGAGTCACAGTAACAGCCACAGTGTATTAAATGCATACATGCATCAAGCATTTCACATGCATTATCTCATTTAACTCAAACAACAACCCAAATTAGGAAGCCAATGCTTAGAGAAGGGAAGTCACTTGCACAGCTCAAATTCAACCACAGCTCTGAAGTCAGAGCTGGACTCCTCACCACTGTTCCTCAGAGCTTCCCAGGAGCTTTCCTAAGCAGTCTTCTCTCAAATCCTACCATGTACAAAATTTCTTCTCTGAGGTATGCAAAGATTAAAAAGGCCCTGTCTCAATGCACCAAAAGCAGGAGGGCCTGGACAGAAATATTTAATAAATGCTTACAAAACAAATGGGGACATAAAGAACAGAGCATAGAACGTGGCTTGGCTGCAGAGCACTATGACGTCTGCTGCAACAGAGGTAAAACTGGCATGTTTCGGAGGGAGTGCACAGTCTCCTCTGGGAGCCTCGGAAACCTCCTAGAGGTAGGCGCTGCAGGATGGGCCAACCACTGACAGGGACAGGTGGGGACAGGAAGGATGGTGGGAACGTGGTGTGGAGCAGGAGGCTGAGACCAGGGCAGGGGTGGGGTGGCGGAGGGAGAAGAACATGGTGGGAAAGCAAGCTGGGGCCTTGGGTTAGGAAATCATCATGGAGGCAATGTGGTACCTCAGATACTTTCTGCGGTGCTACATTGTCTCCATGTGGCACCTGAGAGTGACATGGTCAGATGTGTGTGTTAGGGATGTCACTGCAGGGACAGAGAGGAAGAAGGAGGGGAGCCAGCCTGGAGGCAGGGAGTTCTAGGCATTCTAGCTCATGAATGGAAGGATGCCTGGGGCTGTGACCTGCCCTGTGGCCCCTCCTGCCCACTGAGATAGTAAACTTCCAGGGCTGCTGGCCAGGCCACAGGCCAGAAGGAGCTGGACACAAACACCAAGGACCAATGTGAGGCAAGTGGCCAGAGTCTAAGCAGCAGTAAGTACTCTTCTGGTTTCCACCTTCTACTCTGGCCACACCTTGTTTCCTTTGCTAGCTCCTCCTCCTCTTGCCAATACCTTAGATGCCGGTGTTTCTAGGGTTCGGTCCTATGCCCCTTCCTGTTTCCATGCATACATGTTCCCAAATGCCACTCAGGTATGTGCCAACGACTCCCAAACCCATGCTTGCAGCTCAGATCTCTCCATTGAGGCTCAGACTCACAGAGCCAACAGCCTGGCAGACAACTCTACCTGGATATCCCAAAGGGTCTTGTCTCTGGGCAGGCAGGAGTGGGGACTGGGGTGGGAGTAGGGTGCCTAAGTAGGCGGGGAAGTAGGAACCTCAGAGGAGTGGTTAAGAGTGTCACTCAGGAGCCAGGCTGTCTGGGTTTAAATCCTGGGTCTGTGACTTATTAGCTATGTGGTGCTGGGCAAGCCCTTTATTCTCAATTCTACCAATTGGTACTAATCCCATTGGGTTCATACCGCAAGCTCTAAGGCCAGACTGCTTGCCTTCAAATCCTGGCTCCAACATTTCCTAACTGTATGACCTTGGGCAAGTTTCTGGACCCCTCTTAGTTCAATGTCCTCTGGGGAATAACTGCGCCTACCACATAGGATTTTGTAAGGGTTAAATGATTTCACACATATAAGCACACAGGACTGTGACTTGGATAGTAAATGCTATTAAAGTGATTGTGTTGTTATTATTTATTATGAAAATGCATTATCTAGTCCAATCCCAAGAACCCTCTGAATCATGTGTCACTATATCTATCTCGAAGACGACAAATGGAGGCTTAAGGGAGAGTACGCTAGCTGCTCAAAGCCACCAGATCCTCCCACTACCTGAGTGTACCGTAGGATGAGGTGCTGGCCGGGCTGCAGGCCAAGCTGGCTGTTCCCAGGTAGAGCAAATCGGACACGGTAGGTGTCTTTAGTGAGTCTGTCCATGGCACTGATGCAGAAGGCCACAAAGGTCTTTGGGTTCAGCTTGGAGGGACAGCTCTGCAACAAGAAGAGATCCAACAGCTAGAGGCCAGGGCTCCACAGACACACAGGCATCCACAACACCCTTCCCACTGTCCCCAAGGAGAGGCTGTCTCAGCTTGGGAAGTTTCCTGTAAACTGGACACTAGCCTCACCTTACTTCCCTTTCAAAATCAGGCCCGAGAATGGCAGAGCATTTTCCTTTGAGCTTATCCTACTCTTAAGTCTTCCATGGCTCCCTCAGCTCCAGGGTAAAGCGCAGGCTCCTTCCTTAGCTGGACACTCAAGGGCCCTGTGGATGACCCTCAAGCCTCATTTTATCTCCCAGTCTGTCCATGGCACTGATGCCAGACTTTTCTCTGTCCTCCCAAGAATACCATGCTGACTCCTATTTCTGAGTCTTTATTTGCTCAAGCAGTGCCCTCTATCCAGAACATTCATATCCAATGTATAAAAGACCTATCCATTCTTCAAACCTACTAAAATCCAGATTTGCAGAATTTAGAAGTTGATGGGACCTCAGAATATCTAACTCAATACCTGCGTATTACATATGTGGAAACTGAGGCCTGAGTTGAGTCATGCTGGCTTGCTTGTCCACGGTCAGACTATAAACAAAGATTCAAACACATGTCTAAGTCTCAGACCACTGCCTTTAACATACCACCCCAACCTGCACGTCCTTCAGGAAGCCTTCTCTGAATGCTGTCACTCACAGATCTTTCTCTCCTATAAAATACTCCATTAATTCCTGGGACCCTTCATATCCAGCTTAGGGCCTGGCACCATGTGTTCCTGTAGCACCAACTCTGGAACCCCAGTTACCCACGGTAGTGCTGACAGTACCACTGAACTGACAGAAATTCTCAGGCCTGGCATTCGAGGCCTTGCCTCCACTATGCCCCTTCCCACATCCCCATCCAGGATGACCTCACCATCATCCAGAGCACCTGGGCACCCTCTAGCACAGCTGCCTGGGGGCTTTGAAAAGAGCACTGGACTGGAAGTAGGGAGAACTGGGTTTAGCCCCAGCTCAGCTGCTGCCTCCCTGTGGGGCCTTTAGCATATCAATTGATCCTCTGGGATTCACTTTCCCAGTCTATAAAAAGGAGCCACTCATCCCTGAAAACTTTATAGGGTTATCATGAAGGTCAGATGAGATACAATGTAAAAATGTAAGTTACCATGGAAATGTAAAATCTTTTCCCCTTATTATTGCTTCATTAAAAGTTAAAAAACAAAACTATAAATTGGAATATGCTATTTTATAGAACTGACAAAATGTTTGGATCTATTTGCTTCCATCTGTTTGCAAATTTTTTTTTTTTTTTTTGAGATGGAGTCTTACTCTGTCACCCAGGCTGGAGTACAGTGGCATGATCTTGCCTCAATGCCACCTCCACGTCCCAGGTTCAAGTGATTCTCGTGCCTCAGCCTCCTGGGTAGCCGGGATTATAGATGTGTGCCATCACGCCCAGCTAATTTTTGTATTTTTAGTACAGACGGGGTTTCACCATGTTGGCTAGGCTGGTCTCGAACCCCTCACCTCATTTCCAATGTTATAATAGGTGATGACAGCTACTGAGCATCTACCATGTGCCAGGTGCTTTACATATTTATCCCATGAAATTCTCATAACAACTTACAAAGTATTAACATCCTCATTTTTCAGATGAGAAAACTAAGGTTTAGCACACTAAAATGACATGCCCAACATCACACAATTAACTGGTAGAACTGGGCCTCAGTTCATACTGTATCACAATCCTGTGGTTCTTTTTTTTTTTTTTTTTT